GGTAAATATCTATCACTTTCACCGACACTGAGGTGAATAATTGTTTTAGTATATACCACACAAGCTGAATAATTAGCGGACCAAAACGTTATTTTATGTTTGACAAGCGGCCGAAAATTTTAAAATCTCTCGCGCTGGCTGCTCGGAGGTGAATAGTACTTGGTAATCACCTCCGAGTTAACCAATCAGAGCGAGCGAAAAGCACTATTCACTTGTGTGGTATATACTAAAGTGGGATATTCCATGGTATACCACGAGAGAGCATTGCATAATTTTTTATACCATGCCATAGAAAATACAGTGGCAAACACAATCAATGCGACATACGCGCGGCGCATGATGGGAAGGATAGGTGCAACACCGTCAAATATACGACGGCGCTTCTGTATTCTGATTGGCTGCATTTTCTATGGCAAGGTATAAAAACTTTTATCAACCGAGGCTTAAATACTTACTCTTCCCCAGGACCCATGCTTCCAGCTCGTGCACGGTAGGACCTTGCACAACTCTGTATCGGCAGGTTTTGGAGTGCTTTCGCAATATTGTTCACGAACAACTTCCTGTTCTTCTGTAACTTCCTGTTTCCCAGGCTTCACCTTCACGCACTCGACGTTACGGTACCGTGTTCCAGGCTTCTCTCCACATGTCACAGAACACTGCAAGACGCAAAAATGATCATGCAGTAAATAACCAGAGCGCCTTGTTGTCTGCGTCAGTGACACAGCAACAGTTCTAAAAACTAAATGACAAATGCATAGAATCTTACTTGGGACCAGACTGTGATTCTCCAATAAAACTCCTTTGGCTTTTCCTCGTAAAATTCGAACAGCGTCGCCGGGCAAACTTGAAGTTTGCACTCTCTACGGGAAACTGGTCTGGTGTCAGCGGAACATAACTCATCGTCTACGGCGCTGGCGACCAGTCCTCTCCCGGACAGACATAGAACTTGCCTAGTCTTGAATCCCGTGCTGCACGTCTTGGAGCACTGGGACGAAAGACAGAGTAACTCAGATTTTACATGGTCCGTACGTACTTGCGTGACGTACTTCTAGATGTCACGTAACTTCGCGCATTAGGTAAATGTCACAGCCTGCATCAATAGATTGATCCAGCCGAAGAGATATTAGCAGGTGAACCAAAAACAGTTGAAAAACTGCTTTATCGGTGCAGTTTTCCCAATGAACTCAAATTAAATGATTACAGGCAGGCGTATTTTTCCTTCCCCTTCCCCTCCCTCGTTACTCTTCTTTCGGCATCGCTCCCTCTCCCTAAGACGCCTTTTCGTCTCCCCCCACCCTCTTCGGATTTTGAATCCAACATGGCGCTCGCTTAATCAAAATGCACTCGCTCGCCAGAATACACATGCATTGCAGGCTAGTTCGTTCAAAATCTTAGGCACAATATATAGGACACTTTACTTACGTCTGTCCATTTTCCTGCGAACCAATAAGGACAGGGAATCTTCAGGTCACATGACTTTGTTGTGAGTGGCTTTTTGTTCGCGTCACACTTTTTATGTGCAACAGCTACTCCCTGCTCTGATGTACATTTCACTTGACGGGTCTGCTGTCCCGAGCCACACGTCACACTGCACTGGGAGAGGAACACAATGAATGTCTCGCTCATCCGTATTAATTATTTCCCCTGTGTATACTAGCAACCTTTTACGCAGATAAGTAATGCATTACAATTCTTATATGGAAGGAATACTAATTAACAATTAGATTATGAGCTCGAGATTTCTATGAGGTGATAGTTGATGAGGCCGAAGGCCGAATCAACTATCGCCTCATAGAAATCGAGAGCGAATAATCTAATTGTTTCAGTAGAATTCTAACTTAAATTAACGCAAATAATGGTTTCCAAGTATTTGTCGACGCATTATTGAACTTCACACTTTGACAAAATCGCACGTATTGAATTGTCCTTAGTAAATTTGCAGTTGTTGTTTACGCGCGCGCACCGGTTTTTCAATAATTTCAAGTTTTTAAAGTCAAGAATCCGTTTATGTACTTCTTTTAGTCTTCTCAGGAATTTAATTGTCCATTTACATTTCAACTTTCTTCCAAAACTTCGGAAAAACGATAAAAACGTCGCATTTCGTTGACGGCCGACAGCTACTGCATTCTAATGGCTGATAGTATACGAGTAGCTCAGCCAATCGGATTGCGGCATTTGCAGTATTATACTAGTAGAATTCTACTAATTATGCATAGAGCAGTAGCCGCTCTGACAGCTTGTGTGCCGTACACAAAGGCCTTACCCAAGAGAGCATTGTAGTGACCCTGACGCCAGCACCGTGTTACGTTTTTTCAAATACTGAATATTTTAGAATCAAACTATAAGGGCGTTGTATGACATAGAATTCCCAGACAGACACTGACTGTTTCATGCAGACAGACAGACAGAGAGACAGAGAGACACACAGTGAGACAGACAGACAGACAAATATGGAGTGGCTCGCTCATTTCATATACGTTTAGTAAAGCAGCTACTATTTGACACTTTTAAGAGCCTTTTCGGCCTTACATTGAGACAGACAAATAGACGGATAGACGGACAGATAGATTGACAGACAGAGAGGCAGAAAGATAGAGAGATCGACAGACAGAGAGACAGACAGACAGACAGACAGAGAGACAAATAGACGGATGGACAGACAGACAGACAGACAGAGTTAAGACACAATGAATATTTGAGAATGTTCGACTTACCGAGCTCCAGTCTCCTTCTGTCCACCACGGGCACTTGAAACTGTTACATTGTCGTCTTAGCGTTTGCTTGTCTTTTGGTCGGCAATCTCGATCGATCAAGCTTTCTCCAAAGGTATCCACACAGGTGGCTTGCCGAGACTGCTCTCCTTTATCACAACTTTTCGAACACTGTAAATTATAAAGCAAACAACCATTTCTTCGGTTATATATTAGTTAATGATCTTTATCAATTAGTAAAACTGAAGTAGGTATATCACGGGTACGTGTGTCAAAATACCTGTGTCCACTTAGTGTACACCCATCTGGTTCCCTCACAGGTCCCCTTGCATGGAACAACCACAGCAGGCTTGGCTCCTGGGCAATGTTTATCTTGAACAATGTCCCACCGGTCGCTGTTAACGCGCATGCACCGTACAGGTCGACTCTGGTACCCAGGCCCACAACGTGCGGAACATTTTCCCGGGTCTTCCTTGTGCCATCTGACATGACAAGAATGCAAGGTATGTGCCAATGAATGGTACTAAATGCGTCAAATATTTCATTTAAATGATGAAAAGAAATCAATACAATTAAGTGTTAATGTACGTTACAACTCCACCATATAGATTTCGTTACCAACCTGAGGCGGCAGCTAATGTTACAGTCTTCCGTCACACTACTCGGCCGAGTCCTCTGATCACAGCGTGAATTCGATACGAGCTGTCCGTCAATAGCGCGGACACATCTTGGTCGCCGTTTTCTTTGCCCTGAAGTAAGACAACAGGAGTAATTGAAAGCTTTACAGAAAAGGGGGTAACATCATTTTTAGCTGCAATTTGTCGTAAAATTCTGTCACGGCCGATTCAGAGAGGCTTTATATATTTTTTCGAGCTAAGGTATTCAAGCGATGCTAGACTGCGCAACGCTGAAAATTGGTGTGGCGTTTTACTGAACTCCGCTGACTAAAAACGTTGCAAGTCGTTTCATTTAGTGTAAAGCTGAAAATTTTGAAACCTGGTGTAAATGCCCCATTTGGGTTTATTTTGTTACGTGCAAATTTGTGTCGTACCTTGACATAACTTGCTGCACTGAGTCCATGGTCCAAGCTGGTCCCATTTATAGACAAACTTTGTAGGTTCTGCTACCATTTGGTTAAGGGCGTAGTAAACATTAGGGGGACGAACCTCTCCCACTTCAAGGACCTGCGGTAGAATATACATTGATGAAAATGCCGACATCTTGAAAAACAGATACTGTCTTCTTCATTTCTGTTCAAACGGCCCGTTATTGAGCCATTCAGTGTTGCCAACACGATCATAAACAGAAGCTAACAAGCGCATGGATTTCTTGTCTCCAGGCAGGACACGAGCAAAATCGCGCCAAATCAGAATTAGGCAAAACCTGATCATCAATGTTACTTTGCAAACGCTTTGTCACAACTCCAAAGCTTAAAATTAGCTGAAATCTAATTAGAAAATCCGACGGTAGCTGGCTTTAAAATTCTCTAGTATTGAAGTCAACGGCGTCTTCATTTTACTTTTGAAGAAATACTGCAGGACACATTAATCGTGCATTATCTTGTTATTAATTACTCAGCGCGTCACAGAATACTTAGCGTTGTAAGATGGTGCCTAGTCTCTCCTAAATTCATTTTGCAAGAGGGTATCAGGAAATCGGATAACTATCATTTTACGGAGTTACTATGGTAACAAGAAAAGTAGCATTGGTTACTCACGTGCACTTTGATTGGTTTCTTTATTTTCCCGTCAATTTTGATTTGCTCAGTAGCTTTGTCCGAGCCTGAGTACCAGACTTTAGCGCCGTCCACCCTGAATTCTCTGACTCCAATCCCGATAATCATCCCACCATTGAGGAGAAAATTGCCACTGTCACTTTGAAGCGCTGATTGTAAAACAAAAGACAGATATCTTAGCTATGTCAATACCAGATGAATAATATTTAAATTTTGTATTTTAATTAAATTCTGAGTTGGAGCCAAGCGGCCCATTACGCCGACGCTTTTTTCCGGTTTCAGTAGCATGAAGCAACTAGAAGTATCTCCACTCCACCCTGGATGGGATGCTAGTCCATCGCAGCGTTACCCCCAGCATTAAATTCTCCGGTNATGTTATTGTTACCTGACTGTTACAGGACTTGAATCGTTTTCGTTCACCGACACAATATTTTCCTCCATTTTCTGGTCTGCGTAAATAGGATAACAAAGGCCAATAATCAAGTAAAAATTGTCTTCCACCATTTGTGATACAGGAATTACTGAGGGGCTATTTAAAGAAGCTCAGTCACGGTATTTTGAGCTGTTTTAGGCACGCACAAAATTACCTTTAAATTGACGGAAAACTGAAAATAATAGTTTACTAAGATAAAAAAAAAAAAAAAACCAAAGAGATAACGATAAACAATAAAGGACCAAGAATGGTTGAGAATGGAGAAGATTAACACGGATTACAAACGATGAACTTAAACACTCTAGGCTAAACTTTTCAAGATGTACAACCCGTGACGTAGCTCCTTTAACTTGACTTCGCGAAAGCATGAAATTCATTTTACATTAACGTGGTGTAAAATATTATCGGAGGTACTTTCGCCACTAAAAGCAAAATACCATTTTGTTTTACTGATTTGACTTTTACTCAGGTGAACCCGCAGTCTTCCTTTTTTGCAGTGAAAATATTCGGTGACCTGCCGAACGAACATCGGATTGCGTGGCAAGAAGTGCGTGATAAAGGTACTTACATTGGATTGTTGCATTTCCTGTATGAGAATGTAATACCTCCACCGCATTTCCTGGTGCATGCATTGTACGGGCCCCAGGGCCCCCAGTTGCCGTCAACAGGCTTCAGTCTTCGTTTCTTTACACATTGGCCCCTGATGCACCACTATGATTTGAAAATAAACACAAATGTCAAATTTCTTTCAATCTCTATTACTAGAGTACTGAGTAACTCTCACGAGTCACGCCCTCTACTCGTCACGCAACACCTATTCAAGGTTTTTAATATTGCAAGAATGGAAGTAAGACGCGAAACTTGTTGCGCATTTAAAAAGAGACGAGAATTGCAGTAAACGTAGAAAAATCTTCACGAAACGTGCCATTATCTTGCAACTGTTCTGCAATCTCGTTGCAGCATGGCATTGGAATGTGCGCGATTGAGTGCAACGGTGTTATTTCATAATCAAACATGTTCCCTCGGTGAACGATTTAAGCAAAGCTGAGACCTCATCCTTATCTTTAACGAGTTTTAATCCAAGCTTACGAGTGGAATTTTTGTCACTGTTTTCTATGCACTGAGGAAGTTCTTCTTTGAAAAAAATCAGCACTTCTTGATTTTACAGTCGTGGTATTTACTCATAAAATGTTCGTCTGGATAGCAGTATTCGCACATCACAAGTAACTGTAAACAACTTTCGCCTTCGTTCCAAATAAGGACCCAAAGTTAAGAACTCGAAAAATTGTTTCAATTCTTTACGTCACATGGATTTTGTGTCACGTCATGTTATACCCGCTGATCCTGTTAGTCAAGGTGGAAAAACAAACGCAAGTTGACAGATATCTGGCGACCACACTTCTCCAGGGATTTCGAGAATGTAAACAAATTGGGATTGAGTGATTGGAATTGTAAACACAGCAAAAATTAACCCTTATTTGCGTCGCATTATCGACCTCCGTGACCCAATTGTAACGACGATTCGAGAGCTATTGACACAAAAGTACTCCAAGGAGAGAACCTCAGACTGCAAAATCTGCCAATGCGCTCGTTGCTTAACAGAACAGCTCGATGCTTGTATAAAGGAAGTTGTATCAGTGTTTACACTTGCAAAACATGAGCTTATGTTCGCGTGATCGTAAGACCGAAATGACGTATTCTGGTGTCTATTAATTAAGAGGTGACATGTAAGATCTTCTAATGTGAGAGGAAAGCAATTACAGCAATTAAAGCCGTGTACAAAGTGCTCGCCTAATTTCCGAAGGAACTGAACTCAGAAATGATCGATCAACTCCTTGATGAGAAGTACATCATAAAATGAATAAAATAATGTACCCTTGAAAAATCGGAACTACACACGGAATATATTGGTTTCATTACAAAGGTGATGACACACGAGGGACGGAACGTTCATTTGAACACACACAAAACATATCTCATTGCGTTTAAGTAATTTGCCGTTGTGAAAACAATAGTTGCACGACCTCTAGCACGTGCTTCAGAAAGCTCTTCAGACGAGTAACTATTTAAAATTCGCGTTGGCTTTGTAGCCAACAGATTACCGACCTCTTACAGGTCTAAAAAAGGTCCAAAAGATGTTAAGTAGCGAAAAGAAAAAAAAAAAGCAGAGGTGAATGAGGCCTTGGCCTACAATTATGCAACAAAAGGTGATTTCTTGGCGCCATTCTTTCTTAGGTTAATCCTTGACAAGAACTTCACGAAGATGTTCTTGGAAAGATAAGGCAGTTAATCTGCTAAGAATGGCTTATCCAGCCAGAACCATTCATGAACATGAGCGTGTGCACGTTTTAACGTACGTGAAGACGGGGCGTGCACATGTTTAATAGCAGGAAGTGTAAATTTCTACGTTGACGGCATTGTCCCTTGTATAACCCGCACGCGCGTGCAATAATTGAGATAAACCACGATAAAGACATGTTTTACAATCCAACTAAATTAAGTGACCTTGCTTTCTGACAGACTAGATTAAATAATTGTCAACATATGCACGCGTTAATTGTAGTTTAGACATTTCCTACACGATCCAAGCATTGGTCACAATTTGGAAAAAAAGCTTGGAATGGACCAGCGAATTCGGAATATTGAAAGTAACTCTACTTAAAAATAATGACATATCTGTCTGGATTTATGAAAACAGTGTTTTTCATACATCACTTGGAGTGAATTTTTAGGCCTTTAGGAGTCGTGAAATCAAAGTGTGTCGCTCATTTGGTGCAAAGGAACTCAGTTTTCAGTAACACCCTTTTCATAAATCCAGTCATGTGTGAATTCAAAGATGAGCGTCAAACTTACAGAGACACTCATTTTCGAAGTATAAATTAAAGAAAACTCAAAACACAAATAGTTTGTCAGAGTGATATTAGTCAAAAGAGGTGTTAAATTATTAACTAAAACTAAAGAAGGATTGTTAAAAGAGCTACATCACGGTTTGGGCATTTTGAAAAGTTAAGCCTTAACTTTTTAAGTTTGTCTTTAGTTATCCGTGTCAATCTTCTCCATCCTTAACCATCCTTGTTTCTTGATGGTTTATTACTATCTCTTAAGTGATTTTCTATTTTAGTTAACTATTATTTTCAGGTTTCCTTCAATTTAAAGGTAATTTTTTACGTTACCAAAATATTTCAAAATACCGTGACTAAGCTCCTTTAAGATTGAGGAAGATTCTTGACTCACCCGTCTTTTCGCGCAAGGTGTTCCATCAGCCCATGGCATGTGATTAGTCGAGCAGCCTCTTCTTTGTCCAATCATCTTCACGCACCAAAGGCGTCTGCAAGGTTCCTTACATAAGAGGAAGACAAAACAAACGCATTTAGAACGCTTGAAAAACGAAACTGCCGTGGGCTCGCCAGTTCGTAACCGACTCTTATCACACGACTAAGTTAGATCAGAGGGCCAATAACTAAAATCAGCCAATCAGATTGCTCCATTCCCAGTCGAATATTCTCTAAGTATTATTGGACCGGGCTCTGTCCCGAATGATCCCGCAACATCGCTCTTGAAGATTTCCTGGTAGTTTCAGTCGTGTAATAAATCTCTTATTAACCAAGCTTGCTCGGGACCGTATTGGGAGAATATCGGTCCCGGGCTTTTTTATACCGACTGCACTGTCAAGGCCTCGGGCCGGGGCCAGTACGGACTCGCGCTTGGTTAATGAGAGATATTTATTTTAGCTTCAACGATGTTAAGACATCTTACCGATCTGTTAGTATGTATAAGTCTGTCCCATGTAATTTAAACCATGGGCGACATAAAGGCGGCAACTATCGTCAGCAACAAGCTTCAGTGATGTAACGAAAATAAGAGGTTGTGAAAATAACGCTGAGTACTAAGCGAGCTCGTACAGGGTTTCTTTACTGTGGTTCAGAGCACAAAAATCGAGAAGCACGTTGGAGACAAAGTTTCTGTTCTTTTGTACTTACCATAAAAGGACAAAGTGACGAACTCTCTCCAAAGATCATTTTACATTGTTTGTTGGCGCCATAAACTTCACCCGGGAGAGTGTCATGGTATTTAACGTTCGTTTTCTCGTCGGGTTTGTCTGACAAGCAGGATCCATATCCTAGACTGGGACAAAAATACAAAACGATTTTATGAGCGAACGTTTAATTATAATACGATCGATGGACACAAAAAAGAGTTCGTTTCGGACTTCACAATGCAAAGGTCAATCCTCAGTGTTTTCATTACGGACATGACTGCACTCGATTTGTAGTTTTCAGACAAGTAGGGTCCATGTTCTCCCAGAACGGCCTTCGGACATAATTATTAAGATACATGTATTGCCAATAGTGAGGATTCAATCCCGCCATCCCGCTCCACTCCGAATGTTTAACCCAATCCCTCCTCGCTAAAGGTGCCGTCCTCCGCGTAACGACCGCAACGTATGATTTTCTGTTTTTCATCCCGCATCCCGCAGTCCCGAAGTATTTTCATCCCGAAATCCCGCCACTAAAATTTATGTCATCCCGCATCCCGCATCCATTTTCACTCTCATTCCGCATCTCACCAAACCTATGTCGCACCCTCAGTAGTGTATGTACTTACTCTAAGAATTGCGTGATTTTCTCGCGACTGCAGTTGGACCATGACCACGGCTTGGTGTCAAAACTGAGTGATGGCGCCATGAGGTGTTGATCTCTGCGGCTCCGGGTACACCTGTTATTATCGCCATCATGAGGAAGACTGAAACTACGATGATACAAAAAATGAGAAACTTCAGCGAGAGAATTGACAAGACGACAGCTGGGAGGAGAAGGTGGATGATAATGATAATGATGATGATGATTATGATGATGATGATGAAATGGGGTAGGGGTCGGAGGAGTCGAAGGAGGAGTAAAAAGAAGAAGAGAAGGGGCGGGTGGAAGATGGAGAGGAGGAGAACGCTGAGTAGGAGGAATTGAAGCGGAAGGGCTGGTGTACTCTACAGGTCATACAAGGCATCACACAGTTTCTGGTTGCTCTTATGAGGCCAAATGTCTTCCGTAATATCATGTCTGCTTGCTAGAATTCTTCAGGTTTGGGTTCCTTTTCTTCCTCATTCAGAAAATTATCAAATACTTACACATGTCCCAGTTCATGCGCTATCGTATAAGCTGTGCTCAGTCCATTGTCCTCGGCCAAAGCACAGCTCCTTGATGGATGACACATAGTTCCAAGTTCGGCAAGACCTGACAAGAAGCAGAGACACAAAAGCTCAGAGAAGAAAACGAACAACAGGTTTGAGGGGGAAATGACTGGTGGAAGCATATGCGCGTCAGTACTCTCTTTAGCAGTAGTTTTCCCGCGTTTTATTGTTAGTGTTTTGTTCAACTCTGCCAACCCGGTGAACATTGGCTTTTTCTTCTCGCGGCTTTACGATTTCGCAAACCAGAAGCTTGAATTTTTTCGTTCAGAGCACATCTTCATTAAGAACGTCAGCATGTTGAAAAACTTAGGCCCATTTTTTCAGACTTAGTCTTTCATAAAACCGTCTGAATCTCCTTTATCTAACCAACAGGTTTGGTATTACCTCTGCTTGTTTCTCTACATTATTGGGCTGTATGTTTAGGGTACGGTTTCCTCTGATTTTGAAGCACTTTTTTCGTCTCGAAATAAGTGAATTGACATCTCGTTTCGTAGCTTGTGCGTGGGGGATAAATCGAAGATAGTCTTAAAAAGTATGACAGAGAAGCTATGGACTGGATTATTTACCTAATGTGCCACATTTTCCAACTGATCGACATATATTCGTCCTGAAATGAGAACGACAAATAAATGAAAGGGTAGACGATTAATAAGGGTCTTTAGCAGCTCTCATAAGGTCTCACATGAATGGTTCGATTCCCTTTGAGAGAACAATAAAACAAGCAACAGAAACAATGCACCTAGCCCCAAAACAACAACAGCTATACACTATGACGACAAATAGAATTACAAGCTTATGAGAGCTGCTACACTTTCGACTAAGAACGGGGAATAAGACACCTTCACTTAGATTACTAAACGTAGTAAAGTGACAGAAGCATGGCGCGTGCTCTACTGATGAAAACCAATCATGATTTAATGGAGCTACGACACGGTTTGCGCATCTTGAAAAGTTTAGCCTAAATTTTTCAAATTCGTCGTTTGTAATCCGCGTCAATCTTCTCCATCCTTAACCGTCCTTGTTATTTTATGGTTTATTATTAACTTTTAAGTGTTTTTCTATCTGAGTAAACTGTTATTTTCGGGTTTCCCTCAATTTAAAGGTAACTTCGTACGTGGTGGCCAAATTAGGGAGTTTAAGAAAACCACGACAGCAACGGCAACGGGAACGTCGCTAAACATAAGATTTAATGAGCTGAACAATGGCTTTGCACGTGCGTTATAATTCTTGGTACATTTCTTTACCGTCCTCTGCACAACAACAACGTGAAATGACCAAATTCTGCGTTGTCTGGAGAACGTGGACCACGACGGCTAATTTTTTAAATTTTATTTCAAGTTTATCGCTGTGAACCAGATTCAGTTTCGTGAAAGTTTTGTCGGTGACAAACAAAGTAAATGACTTTAGAGTATTGCGAGATTCGTAGGTAAAGTGTAAAGTCATTTTTTAATCGACGTTGTCTTCGGCGTCGCCGTCGTGGTTACTTAAATTCCTTAATAGCTCAAAATACCATGACTGAGCTTCTTTAAACCCTGTGAGCTTCCCGCGCTTTCTGCCGACTGCACGTTTTAGCTTGATTTTCATCTGTCTTATCACACTACTTATGGGCATAGTGATTCACGCTTTGTTCACTTTTTGCTAACTAAACACACTCGCTTCACAGAAAATAAAGACAAAGCTTACCTTGTTAGTAAGATGGCTGTGTCATGGTGTTCTGGGTGACTCTGGTCTTTTGCCATTACTTTTTTCTGCCAGCGACAGAAACTTTTCAGAGTACTCGTCGCGTCTGTCGAAATACGGATATCGGGCTGAAATTAACAAAAACACATCATGCCCTGTTATGACGAGTACAAACATTATCATGACAACAGATAAAGGGAGGTGCATGCGTTGTGACCTAGTGACGCTGGATGAAGAAGTCCGCTGACCGTTGGTCTCATGTGCTCGCTTTACCTCACAGTGCCTTTCCCCACCCCTACGAAATAGAAATGGGTACCAATAGGAGGGATAGAAGGGCGAAGAGGGAAGGGTGGGAAAGGCAAGAGGGAACGAAGGGGGAGGGGAAGGGGGCGTAAGAGTTAGCTGAGGTGGATTAAAAATCCTTCAAATCAAGGGGAAATAGCAAAGCTATTCCTCGCTACGTGTTTCGGAAATAAAGAATTAGTCGCCGGTTTGATACATAGGCGAACAGAATTAACTAAATCCAATCATTGTTTGGGTTCCGTTGCGACTTTGCTTGCACGTACCCCTCTTCTTATCAGTCAAAAAAATCCCCTAATTTGCCTGGGATGCCTAGATAAATCTTGTGCTCTTATTGCTCTAGAATTGAATCTCTTCCCACGCTTAACGTGTAAATAGGGTACGACTGCGATGATAACGTTTAAATAAAGATAAGTGAAGACCTGGTCAATAGTATTCGGCAATATCCGGCAATTTGGGTAGTGATGATGCACATAGTTTAGCAGCTAAGAAAACAGGAAAGCTCCTTGGCGGAAATTTTTCTTTAGCAACGATTTTAATTGTTCCATGGCTAGTTTTTTTTACCAAGTCATTTTCAGCGCCACCGCACTGTCGCCGGTTTGTGAGAATACCACCCACTCTTTCCCGCCTCTGGCCGCCATATTGAATTTTGGAACACCGGCAAACGTGCAGGGAAAGTGTTTTCAGGCTTGAATGTTTGGTTGTTATTCAAGATTTGTAGTTTTTAAGCCTGTCAGCAAGCTCTCTCGGAGCAGGGGGCTGTTCTTCCTTACTTATATTTTAAAAGTCTCAGAGAAAAATCGAAACCATACCTCGTCGGTTTCTAGAAAAACTATCTTCACCACTACAATGTTAATGGAATTACCAATGCTTCTGTCTCGATACAATTGGGCAACCTTTAGAGAGAAAACATTGGTTAATTAATTAAAAAAGTCATTAACTTTGTCTGGAAATAATACGCAAACTAAGCAAGTAACTAGTTTTTTTTTTAAACATTTAAATCTATTTTTGACTTGGAGTTTGTGATCGAGTGTAAGCCCTCAAGAAGGAGCTAATGGGATGAGCGCTGAGGCATGTCTAGACTTCATTTCATTGCCTTGCCTATGTAGTTTTTAGCGCGCGATCTTAAACAAATAATGCTGATGTCAGGAAAAGGAATTTTACAAGAGTATGAGTGTTTATTTTCCAGGATTCACAGAAGTTATTTTGCCATCGCCTGAGAAAAAACGTCGTTTTCAGCGGAAGGCTAGGAAGTTTCAATTTGCATTTCAGCGTTAAACCGCAATACTTCCGCTGACCGGCGACTTTTTGAACATCTCGTTGTATCACTTCCCCGTCAATGCAGCACAGCAGTTCCTAAAAAAATACATCTCCAAATCCATCTAACAAAACTGTTTAAGGACAAATGGGTCAACCACGAAGGTAGAACAGACTGAAATAACACATGAACAGAAATTGGTTAAGCTGAGGTTTATCAAACAGTGAAACTTTTAGTACAGAAGACGCGTGATTTGAACAATCGCTTTTTGACAGCCACTTGCTCTAGTTTGACCTTTCGTCGTGCCTTTTTATCAGATTAAACCTCGACCCATATCATTTGGGATTAACCATGTTTACGTATTAGATGCTTATTAACTACTTATGGACTGAACGGGGGAAGTGAACCGAAAAATCTTTGTTTCAGGGTCATGACGATCACAATAAACACGGTGCTGTCTAGATATTTTCTCAGGCGTTTCGGGTTTTAGAGAGTCGCACGACACTTTGCGTAGGTTTAGTTGGTCGCATGGTGTTAAAATTGTTACTGGCAATTACAGGAAACATGCTGAACTGTGCTTTCAGCGATTCAACAACTGTCGTGAGGCAGGCTGGAAGATTTTCTCCGGATCAGACAAAGCCATCCTGCCTTGGTTGCGTCAGGGCGTGGTGCTTTTGAGTTAAGGATTCTTACACAATGACGAATGTCGGGTTGTGGATCGTCATGTGATCATATCGCGCGTGTATCGTGGCGCGGAATTACGCGGGATTGTCGCGATCAATATGTAGACGAACACGCTCACCACACAAACTAAGTTTTTGTTACGGTATGTGCACTGAAACACGTCAGCGTATTAAGCTTTGATCTCTTTACATTGATATAACTTGAACGACTAAGTTAATGGTGGGAAAACAGAACGATTTCAAACATGCGCATCTCTGTGCACAGATTCACAAAGGAATGAGCGATGTTTTAAGTCAAGCCAAACGAAATTCTAGACAGAATAATGTAAGGCGCCGTGTTTTTTAACCTCAGCGTAGGTTGCTGAAGAAACTGCGGTCGTAATTCAGGAAGTCACGCGAAGCTTAAGTGTCGCGTGACAACCTAAATAACAGCTGGTATTAAAAGCAAACTATAAATGAATCTGAGGTTGCGTTACTTACCACTCCCATAAGAGTAATGATATAGCTTTGTAAATCGGCCTTGTTGTCGAACGCGTCCACCATTGTCTTGTCAGCGACCACTAAAGTTTCAACAAAATTGTCATGGATGCTTCTTTTACGCCGTCTTCTTGAGCTGGTCTCGTTGGAAGGGGATGGCGGGAGGCCACGTAACAACTGCAGAGGTTTGTTGGTGTCTAAAGAATGAGGATTTGAAACAAATATAAAGTTTAAGGGGAGGGTTTCACGGTTCGGCGCATGTCTGTATTATTTGTTCGCCTGCGTCCCGCTTTTTGGCACAAGCCCAATTTTTCTTTGTTTATGAACTAATCGTAAGAAAGTCACCTAATTTCGCATGCAAATAGCCGTAAAATCATCAACCGTAGAATAAATCGTACGGGTCAACATTAAATTCAACGGTCGACACCGTCGGTCCACTGAAATCTTCTGAAAATTTTGGCCATCTGTCATTCTATCTTGACTAACTATAGCATGTGATTACTGAACTACATCTGAGTGGGTTTTTAAAGCGATAACATTGAAGAAGCGAACAAAAGTATTTTGATTTAGAGACATGCGCCAAACCGTGAAACTCTCCCTTTAACAAAGAACAACTATGAGCGTATGAAAGGACAGATTAAGGGTGGAAGTCTGGTTTGGTTACAGTATCGTTTCTGGCAAGATCCTTGATTCTGAAAGCGCCTCTCTCCACCCTATGTATGAGTGTTGGAAAATTGCTCAGAAAACTCGAGACAACTTCGATGGAATTTGATGCAGTCTGTATATGAGCGTGATAGAGCCACATCAAGCTTGCAAAATTGGAGATGAACATCAGGGATGATTAACTTCAAGCCATGAAATCCACCACTTGCGGAGAGTGGGTGACAAAGCGCAGTCGAATATACGTCGAGAAAGATAAGTTTTAAATTCCCATTTATACACCTGGATGGAGAGAGGCACTGTGAGAGTGAATTTCTTGCCCAAGAACACAACACAATGTCCCCGGCCAGGCCTACATGAACCCGCACCACTCGATCCGGAGTCGAGCGCACTAACCGTGAGGCCACCGCGCCTCAACGCGACCAACACTTACAAACATTTCATTCTGAAACGACAGTGAATGGAATGCAGCCCAGGCACACGGTGCAACATTATGCGCCACAAAATTGCAGTGTACGTTTACAACCCTGGTTTAACTTCACCATCCTGCTTTCAAATGTTGTGTGGATTTTGCGCGCAAAAATCTCAGAGCTGGACCCAATGCTATTTAAACCGGCACTGTTTACACGGGTGTTTATCCGCGCTAGAGTGAGGAAGATCGAGTGTCATAGATTCCACTTAAATGGGTAAACGGTTAGGGTAAAAGGTTACAATCATGCTTTCAAGAGCGTTTAAGTTGCTACAGCGCTCAAAAGGAATCGTGAGGTAGAAAACTCGTTGCGTGACGGTGTGTGACGAGGGGTCAAAGTTAAAGACGATCTCGATTACAACCATGCAATGATCGTTGTCATTTAAAATCGATCACGATGAATGTTACTATACGCGGGTTTATTTCGAGTATGCGTAATGTTCTGTGTCAGCCGCGCACGGAGAACGAGATACCTTTGTAAAAAAATCTGCAATTGTGATCTAGAGAGTCTTCAGTTTTTTGCTCTGTCGAATCGTTGAACTGGAGTGATTTGTAAAATGCCTCGAAGGCCTTCATGCTGTGTGAGCAGAAAAGACTCCATCTACAGAACGATTCTTAAGCGTGCAAAGTTCTTTTCTCTCACAGAAGAATCTCAGTTTTAAAGACGTCTTTTTGTCATGCATTCTCTCTCTCCGGAAAAATGTGGCAGCAAAATCCAGCAATCAACGAGCACGCTTGAGACAACGGGGTAAAGTGTGGAGAAAACCCCTGTGTTTTTGGAACAAGTTGGTATTTACAAAATCTAAAGAATCTCTAACCTCCGTCATTAGCTGTTGACCTCAGGCAAGTGACAGGTAGATGTTGCAGACCTCGTCGCTATTTCATGTTTTTAGTAACAGGTAATTAAGCACGTGCTGAAAACAAGTGATAGCAATTTCTTCATCTAATTTACGGGCCATTCCTCATCGAGAATACCGCTTTTTTGTGCAACGTGGGGTTAAAAGGACCTCGTGACCTAGCAGAGAAACCACTAACTAGATAAAATCCACAAAAATGGTTTCAGACAACTAAAGACACAAAGTAAACTGAAAAATGTTAGTTTGTTGATCGTATCAGATTAAATTTGGAATGCTTACTGAACCCTATCAGCTTTGCGTCATAAATGTCTTAGAGGAACCATTCTCGCGCGCGCAGCGTGATGGTGTCGCGATAAGAGGATCGATATCAGGTACATTTCTGCGGCGTTCCCGCGCTGGCACGCACAAGGCCGAAGTGTATCTGGGGTCAACAAATCGTTTTGCAGGATGATGCGTAAAGGAATTTCATTCAAGTCACTCGTGCTTTCCTTCACTGGCAGTTTTGCGCGCACATGGTTTAACAGATATAATTCAAGAATGCGTCTCCACGCGAAAGACTGCGTGCAATTAGAACAATTAGTGATTCTTTCTTTGTTAGGTTATCAAGCCCAAGGTTGAGATGATATTTATTTGTTTTAGCTGAGGTCGAGCCTGGAGTGAGGTAAACCCATCTGATTTGGCGCATGATTCAAGACAACGTGAAGTAGGGCATTGTCATGCCTATCACTTGTGTAGATAAGGAAAATAGGGTTTCGCCAAAAAAGATAAGCCTTTTGGATCCGGGAAATATGACGGTAACAACAAAAACAGAGCATAGGTTTGGCTCATCTGGTTAAGCTCCCACTCACTCACGGAGGTCTTTAATTTTAAAAGTTAACTTACCCACAAGGCCACAAGTCGACGGTGCGTTACTAAAGCCTTCTCTCACAGTAGCTTGGCGAAACAAGAGATGGAATTTCCTGTAATGTGCGCTTGTATTCATCTTTCCGTCGTTGGCTGGCTCAACAAAATAGCGTTCGCCGTTTAAGACGAAAGAACCTCGCTGAAATAAAGAAAAGAGTAAATTGCGCACAAATCTGAGAGGCTATGTAAGAAAAATAAAACGCGCGCCTATAAAATATAGTAATAAAAGTATGAGGGGATTGTGAGTTTTTGTCCGGGTTTCTTGCGCTGATAGCGTTGTTTGTTATAGCTATTTATCGCATAGGAAGTAGCTACTCGAAATTAAATAAGCTAATTATATTTCTAAATAGCAGAAGTTGTAGTTTAAACACAACAAAACAACTTAAAAATTGTTTTTAAAAGCGTATCGCGATGGGCCGCGAGACACGAAGTGCGTGAGCCGCTAAAACCCCTTCGTATTGATTACCGGGGGGTCATTTACCACATCATAGCGCTTCCGGTTAAATCAAAACCCAAAAAATCCGAAATGGCAACCACAAACAAGTCCCAGCCTCTGTCGAGAATTCTTCTCGGAGAGCAATGATGCGCGGCTAAATTCTGGCTAAGCGCCTGTCTTTTAAGACGAAAATCTCCCTAATAAATAGCTTTGGATAAGACTATTCAATTCACGGGCTTACTTACTTGTCAGTGAGGCCGCTGGCTAATGGACGGTCGGCCAGGCATCGTTAATTGAGTAAATAAATACAATATACCGCCATAGCCTCAAATGATAATTTTTCCAAATGTTTTCATCACATGCGGGTGGATAATACGAACTCAGTCTAAGTAGAAATTAAAATTACAGGCGAAGCACACTGCCGCTATAGTGAAAAGCAGCACGGCGTTACAGTGCGCATTCTGCATCTCGTCGCGCAGCTAATGACACACACAAAAAATACAGAATTAAGTAGTGAACTTACCAGCCCGTTGCATAAATTAAACACGGCAGTCGAGTTGGGGTCGCCCTGGATTTCCCCACTGTAGAAACAATGCTGCAAGTCCCCAGCGAACGGTAGTCGGCGCGTATCGCTATAAACATGTTCTACAGTAAGCACAGGCGATACAAAGCTATCGTCCCGCTCCAAGCGAAATTGAAAAGTGCGCCCAAACGCGGCGAGTCTATAGTAAACTGTGCCTGTCCTTAGACCTCTGTGTTCGTATTTTATAAAATGTTTATGAGGCGAGAGTCTTCTCCCATTGCGGTTTACCCGCTCCACTAACGTTATCTCGTATTCAACGCGTCCATTGTTGTTTGGAAGACCGCTAGAGCCGTGCGCGCGACCTGAATCAGGGGAAGCCCGGAGAAGTTACAATTAGAAAACATTAACATACAGACAGCAGTGTTGAATGCTTTAAGTCAGCTTTAAATGGAGAGTTCCCACTTACCTTTCAAGGGTTTCTTGTCCGTCGCTGCGCAAATTTGATGAATCAAAATAATTATAAATACAGCGGTGGATAGTGTCTTCATAGTACAGGTTTTCGGTGATTACTAGAGCAGGAGCCGCGTTGCAGTGACTTTCAATGAAGTGTTTTGGTAGACAGCTACAGGACTTCTAGGAACGCCCACGGAGAGCATGAAACTAGCCAATCACAAGCCAGCTTGTCGATAGCCACGTTATTCGCGTTGACACAAATTACCTGGTGAGAAAGAAAAGAATTTCTACATCACAAAACTGCGCTGTTTGTTTTCTTTACTATACAAGACACGAGTAGGAAACAGACAAGGATTTGCTGCTGTTTCCCTGATTTGATAAGACGCTGATCCTCCTCGCTGTGGGTGAGTTGTAACTAGAAGTTGTCATTAGTGTCAGGGAAATCATTAGGCACTGTCACAAGAGGGTTCTGATTAAGCCCACAACCGTTACGATGGACCCAGGGATAAATGACTTCACAAAAGCAGCTTCGGAGCCCAAGTTTTGCACGGGATGAATGTTGCGCGTACACAATTACTGTAGAATTGTTTACGTGCCCTTTGACGCTGCTAAGTTTTAGGTGCTTCACTTCGTTTTACGCCGGAGATGGTTGAGGCTAATGATGTCATTGCAGCAGCTTTGCGTTGCCCTCTGTCGCTCAAGCGCTGACTTGAGACAAGACTGTCATAAAAAACATTGAATTATTTCCCGTAACACAATGAAAACAAATCAACTGGCCAGTTCTGCGTGTAGGCAATCGAGAATGTGACATGCCCGAGACAACGACGGTTTCATTAAAAAAGTTGCGCAACGCAGAAGAAATCCTGGTATTTGTTCCTGCTTTCTACTGACCGCAAATAAAGGTAAATATTTACATCAAAATGATCAATGAACACCGAAAACTGGTGCTCGAGTTAGATACGGTAAATATCGCACAGTCTGGAGTCTGCATCAGGTCGCAAGTCCCAAAAACCTCTGATAATAGACATATCAGTACTAGTCACGTTTAAATGGTGCGCATCACTTACAAACTAAGACAATGATAATTTGAAGTTTTAATAACATCTTACAGGGTTAAATAATAAGTTCAATATTGTGAATTCATATCACTTGTTATTCGATCAGGAATATTTTAACCGCTCTCTACAAATCAGTAAACCAGAGCTTGAATACTCTGTCAAAACGAATCAAATTCTTTTAGAGAAAGAGGAAAACTCGAAAATTAATACCCGGCCTTTTATGGATGAAAATACGGATCGACCAAGCTGGAAAAGTTGTTTTTGTTTATCGCAAATCGTTCAACGACGGAAACCCTTCTAATTGAAACATTAATGCAATCTTGGAATTCTACAATGAAACCTGCTATATTTACATCAACAACACATGCTCGAGGACGAAAATTTCTTATTATGGTCGTGGAGAATGAGCTCTCACATTAACTGTTTAAAAATACCTCGGTATGATCAAATTAGCCACAGATGAAATCGATTTAAAATGCGTTTATATGAATGAAATGCACATTAAAATATGACATGACCGAGATTTCAGTTTTAAAAGAGGCGAAGTGGTAGCAATATTGTAGCAAGCTTGCACATAAGGTTGAAAGAAAAAATATCCTCAGTTTGTATTTCCGATCTGACCTTTTAGCTCGGACATCAGTGTCTCGCATCGCGGACCTTTGGACATAATCTCTCTGTTGTCGCATAGTCATTCCTTTCGTCAAACGAAACCGGAAACAATTTGCCATATATCGATTTCCTTCAAAATATGACCGTGCGTACCGCGGATCGACCAAGTTCAGCTTTGTATCTCTACTGAAAAGAAAGTAGAGAATTTTACAGAAAGTTTGGAGAAAAAATATATGTACCGCGATTCGTCGACTGAAAAACTGAGCGCGCGCAATTTTCCACGTGGACATCACTACATGTACGGCCAAACGGTTAGCGGATTTGTCGTCAGTAGAATACTTTAAAAACCTTCTCGATTGGTCCAGGGATTATGTTTGAGCTCATCGCCTTAGAAATCCTGTCTGCCCTTCATAACTGTTCAATTGACATGTGTTTTACCTACTTACCATCTTAGAGGGCGCTTTTCTTCAGTCGTTTAAGCAAAGCGAAACATTTCAAGAATTCACATCGGCGAGAGCGGCCAGCGTTTGGTCGTTCGCGGCAAAGCGCGAAAAATTTCTTTGCAAAACGACCGCAGATTTTGTGTCTCTCAAATGACAAAAAAGCCGATTTGTGCAAAAGTCATTATTCTTGCCAAACCTTAAAATCGAATTACTAGCTGTTGCGGCCATAGCCGAAAAATTTTGTTTTGTTTGCACCGAAAAAGCTAGGAGTTCAGTAAAAAATTCTCAGCCATTGACCTCATATAGACACTGTGGTTATGCAATTGACAGTTTAGGTTCTTTTTAACAGCATGTCCGATATTAAGATAACGTTTTATCATAAAAACAATCGTCAAAAATACTCCGCTGCGCGTCGTATAATGATTGTATCATATTTCTCCACACATTTTCTTAGAAAAATGAAAAAAAAAAAAAAAAAA